CTAGGACCTGGGATACCAGGGTTTTAATCCCCACTGAGTGAGCTTGGGCCAGTCACAGCCTCACAGCCTACCTTAACACACAGGGGTGTTGTGAGGATAAAATGGGGGGGGGAGAGAGAGAGACGACTATATACACCACCTTGAGTCCCTTGGAGGACAGGTGGGATATAAATGCAATTAATGAATGAGAGAATGAATTAATAGCATGCTGCTAGGGGTATTTAAGTAGCAACTCTGAAGGATCTGGCAAACATAAACGCTTAAAGTAAGCTTACAAACCTATGGTGTGAGTGTGTGGGAGCATTTCATGGTTTCCACCATGACCTGTGTGTGTCTGTGTATTTTACACTGGTGCTTTAAGAGACATCTGTCTGAAACCTTTCTCCCTGAACCTTCATTTCAACATCAATTTAGCAAAACAGCGAGAAAAACAAATATTTTGTTTTAACACAGTGCTTCTCCTTCAGCTCAGTGAGAAATAATCCCTAAAAAGGGTAGGATTTCAATTATAAGTCAGCCCGCTAATAAATCCTCCCCATCTTTGTGGCAAAGGAATTATTTGCACTAGGCTGCAACACCCTCTGCGGTCTGTGCAGGCCATTGCTTTGCTTGTAACACAAGCTAGCACATTAGCGCCACATTCCTCCAATTTTGTGAAGCATTCCGCTGCAGACTTAGCACTCATTTGATCTGATTAGTTCCCTGCTCTTTCGGTTAGGCCATTTCACTGTTTTCTGAACGCGGTGCTAAGTCAGCCACTAAAGAAATGAACCCCTGTTTTCCTTAGCACCCTCGTATGCCTTGATCACCACGCAGAGCCTAAAATCTGCACCTGTTTCCTTTTGTGCACATCAACACGAGATAGCACAAGCTATGGACGGGGCCTTCGATCCATGAATCATTTGTTTCTGAGAATTCCCTTCCTTCTTAGCCTCAAAAGGTAGGATGGGAGGACTACTGAACGCTGGATACCTTCACCCTCATTGTCTCCAGAGACTGATGGCTGCCAACAGGATATAAATAGTAGAAAGTTGGTGCACATTCCATATACAATGCCACGTTCATGGAAGGAATCAGCATAGGGCTCAGTGAATCTTGCTTCCATCCATTCACTTTCCTAGTTGGCCCTTGGATTTTTATACCTGCTGCTGCTTGTACGTCACTCAGAATGAACAGCTTGTGGGCCAGAACCAGAGAGGGGCAGCTGCAGGGAGGGTGATGGAAGGAGTGGACTGACTTCCTATTGCAAGTAATGGCCATTGTGCAGCCAGAGAAGGAAGGAAGACCATATCCCACTTCTGCCCAAGATGATGGTTCACACCCTTGTTACATATATATGTATGTATTGGGAAATGTTGATTATCACCATGGTAGCTGTGTATAACTGCTGCTTATGCCATTCTAAATGCTCTCCACCCATTGTGATTTTTCACTTTTTTTAAAAAAAGAGAGAATACAGAGCGAGAAATTTCACATGAAGAATGAGCCAACATCTTTTTATGTTTATATGCATGTTAATTTTTATTGATCAACTTGCAGGAATACAGGTCAAATCCACACCTTACATTTAAAGCACTTGGCTTCCCCCAAACTATAGTTTAGCCTTCACACAGCTGCAGTTCCCAGTACCTTTAATAGAGTGAAATTCCCAGGATTCCTTGGGGAAAGCTGTGAACATGCTTTATCATCATCATCACCACAGTTAAAACAATGCTCAAGGTGGCTTACAATACAAAAAGATTTACATAGTTATAAACATAGCAAAGTAGTCATAAAAATAAACAAAACACATCAAAAACTTCATTACCAAACTGAACAATTTCCACATAAAAATAAAGATACAAAAAAATAATAACAGCAAAAACTCCCGACATAACTTCTCCCACAATACACAAGTCCTTGCTGGGCAGCAGCAGTTCTTATGAGGCTGGTCAGGCCCCGCCCTAGACCAGATGGAGAGAGGCAGGAACGGGACCCGCAGGCACTCACAGCAGGGGAGTCCTCCTGGGCAGCAACAGCAGCAGTTCTTATGAAATGCATGGTGAGGATGTGGCCATAGCCATTGCGTACAAACCCCATGGAAATGGATATGCTAGGGAGCAAGGGCACAAAACAACTCACTCTGTGATCTCCTTTGCTGGAGGTGTTTAAGTAAAGGCTGCTAGTGAAAGACAATGTGGAACCTGAGCATTTGCATTCTTTTCATCAATACAGTGGTAACTCTGGTTGCAAACAGGATCTGCTCCGAAGCCCCGTTCACAACATGAGCAGAACGCAACCCACGCCTGCGCATGCGCGGGTTGCAATCCGCCGCTTCTGCGCATTCGCATTATGTCATTTTGAGCGTCTGCGCGTGCACGAGTGGCGAAACCCAGAAGTAACCCTTTCCGGTACTTCCAGGTCGCTGCAGGATGCAACCTGAAAAGATTTAACCTGAAGCAAACGTAACAAGAGGTATGACTGTACTCCAATGTTCGATAAGAGGTTTTACAACCTCTATTTTGACCATGACCTAGAAAACAGGTGTTGACCAGACTCACCCATATTCCTACCATAGTTCCCCCCCCCTCTTTCTCTCACACACACACCTCTTAATCTATGTACTTGTTGGATGCCTAACACTCATGCCCCTTCTCAGAACATTAAATCAATCTTGCCTGTGCTTTGTTAAATTCATTGGTCATTTGCTGTCACTCTCTTGCCAAGGCTGACAATGGTATGCAAATTTGCATTGATTCTTTCCTACAATATTGGTCTACTGGAAGTACAGCTGCGTGTCTGCCCACTTCTGTTATTAGTTACTTACAAAAGTCCCCTAGTGACTGAACCTCGCCTCACAAATTCATCCAGTCTGTGAATACTGCTTGAGTGATGGCGTATGGCAGGCATAGGCAACCTTTGGCCATCCAGATGTTTTGGCCTACAACTCCCAAGATCCCTAGCCAACAGGACAGG